CTCATTCCCCCACTAAGAATAAGAGTAATCTTGCCCAGGAATTTCCAATGGGAACTGCACAGTAGAATTACATAATAACAATAACAGGCCAGCCTCGGGGAGACAAAGTCTAATCATGAAGCCTTCTTAGCTGTCTCTGTTTGTCTGGTGCTCCCTTAGGCAAAATGTCCCACCCCAAGGGGTCAGCTTTTTCTCCAGCTTCCCATGTGCCATACTACCCCATCTGTATCCCCAGAAGCAGCTGCCACTAGGTCCCAGCATGAAAAACATCCCCCGGATTAAAAGTCTTAAGGATACACAGATTCTGATTGCAAGGAAATTTCCAGAGGGGCCAAGTTGGCCCACCAGTGGTTGACATGTGAAAGTACTTTGTACTCGTTAAGAAGGGCACAAACAACCCATTATCCTTGCTCAGGCCATGGGCACACACAGAGTTCAGTATGGATAGTGCCAAATCCAGGTACCCAGAACACAACAGCCAGCATTTTCACTATCATGTCTGTGCACGTGGTTTGCGAAAGGAAAAAGGCAAGGCAGGGGCAGGCTTTAGAGAGACTACATCTATGAAAACAGGAAGACAAGAATCTTGTTGGTTTTTTTTTTAAATATATCTGATAGGGTAGAAATGGCATTTGGCCCTGGCAACAGAAGCAATTAGTTCCTGAGAGTCCTCACCACTTAAGAGCTGTGTGAACTTTAACAGGTCATGGACCCTCTCTCTGCAGGAGCCCTGTTTATTACCAAGATGCTAACAATGCATAGCCCATAGCTATGTCTGGAGGGGAAAAAAATGTTGCAGCTATCTTAGAAAGTGCTAATGACCAAAATAATCATAAACCTTAATGGGTGAGTGGGGGGGGGGCTAATATCCTGAGGACCCCTAGCATCTACCATATTTAATTTTGAGTAACGGGGAGGAGGGGCACAAAGCTTCCACCACCCTTCAAAGTCTCACCCATAAAATACCTGACTTGTCTGCTCATGAAAGGATACACGGGCTCCAAGGGTAGGAGAATTTTACTTTCTTTTGAAACTCAGTGGGCCCTCTACTCAAAGCCAAACTGTGAGGGAGCGGAGACACTAAGAGAGAGTGACTGGCTTTGGGGTCAGTTTAAGTTTAGAAGCTAGACTTTCAGAATTTCCTCCCGGGTCTGGAAAAACTGCCTCCAAACCCCAAAGAAGGGAATCAGGAGAGCATCCACAGAGCTGTGACCAGGCTCCTAGCGGCTTTCTGTTCTTTCTTGGAACTGTGGCGCCGGCCCAAAAAGTTAAAAGGAGAAACCTGAACTTTCAGAGTTCTTGGGCTAAGCAGAACAGCGCTGTGACTAGGGCCCACCTTCTCTGAGCTCTGAGCTTGCCTTGGACCTGCAACCAGCTCTCCAAAGCCAGCACCTGCAAGCGCGCTCCAGGACCACGAGCGCTCATCGCCCGGTAGGGCCCCTCCTCTATACCCCACAGCAGGAAGGAAGAAGCAGCTGGCGCGCACGTCCCAGCAGCTAGGGCGCACGTCCCAGCAGCTAGGGCCCTCTCTCCGTATCCTCCCGGGCTCTGATCCCCACAACCCTATCCTCCCAGGCTGGAGGCAAACCTCTGCAGCCCCTACCCAGTTGTGACCGGCTTCTTCCAATCTGGCCCTGGAAGAGCCCCCCCCCCCCCCCAACCCCAGTCTTTCACAAAAGCGCCTTGGATTTTAGGGGCCAGAGAGCAGGGGTTGAGAAGGTGCAGAGTGCACCCTGCTGCTTGTGGCTTGTGGGTGAGGAGAGCGCCTCCCCCCCCCCCCGCCCCCCCAGCTCTGCAACCCGGGCGGCTGCACCAGCTCAGCCCAGCTGCAGCCGTCCTCGACACCGAGACTTGCGTGCAAACAAAAAGGAAAAGGGGAGGGGCCCGGTGAGCCGGAGCCCCCCTGCACCAGGAGGACTCATCTCCTGCCTGCCTCTACGGACCCTCTAAGGGTGTCCTTAGGGGCTTCAGGAGGGACCCCAGGTTCTCTCCCACCCATCGCCACCATATCCACACCCTCTGGCCGCCACTTAAGTGAAGGTTCCGAGTTCACTTCCTTTGTCTGGATGCTCTCAGTACGGCCTCCCCCAACCCCCAGCTTTGCAACCTTGACGTCGACTCCTGCAGGGGCTGAGGCGGCGGGTTAGCGAGCACTGGGTGTCCGTGCCACTCTCTGGCCTCGCACCCCGAGCCGGCAGTAGGTGGCTGCCGGGCCCCGCAGGCACCCGGGTTAAACCGGTGTCCGCCAGAGGCGCAGGATACTCACCAGTGAATGGGGAAATATACAGACATGAAGTCCTAGGGGAGGCTGACCCACGCCCTTGTGATTTAAAAAAAAAAAAAATGGTTACTGCGTCCCGAATGAGGATGACAGGGGCGCAGAGCAGAGCAGAGGGCAGCCGAGAGCGGGTACTGGGCAATCGCCGGTCCGCCTTCCCCCGCTGCCAGCGGCGTAGGCAGTGCAGACCAAGCTCCCGCTCTCCACCGAGCTCCGGGTCCCACAAAGAGCCCGGGAACCCGCATTTATAGGAGTGGGGCGGGGCTTGTCCGAGAGCGGCTCCGCCTCCCCTCGCCCACTCTTAGAATAACGTCACCAAAATCATGAATGGCTTCAGCGCTCGCAGCTCCCGCGGGCGGCGGCGGGGATCAGCCGGGCACTGTACCCTGCCTAAGCTGGCTCGCCGCAGCTACGAGCCCGGCCCCCTCCCCACTGCTAGCACGCGCGCGTTCACGAGCTGGAGTTCAATGTCAACGCGGCTTCCTGTCCACAAATCCGCAGCGTCCGCAGCCCCCTCCCCGCGCACACCCCGGGACACTAAAGGTTATGGGGATGGGTGAGCGTTGGTGCCCACTCGGGACGTGTTAGCTCGCCGTGGGAGGGCGCCATTCCTCCACTCGAGCGCCTGGCGCCGCGTTTCTCAGTGACTCCCACATATCAGGACCCTCTTCACTGGTCATCCCTGCAGAGTAGGCCTTTCATGGGGGATTGGCACTTGGGGCGACGTCAGGAAAAAGAAAACGATGGGAAAGGTTTCAGAGATGAAGAGTTGGGGCTTGTTGGCCATCGAAAAGCCTGCAGTTCTGGGGTCCGTGGAGGGTTCTGTTTGTGGGGAAAAGGATGTGGTGTCTTACAAGGGTTTTCCTACTGCGCGGGAGCGCTAGCGTGTACACACTCACACTCACACAATCGCACACCACTTAGGTAGAGAGAAGGGCGTGAGAGTGGGCAGCGTGCAAGTACAGCCCGCTAGCCTTAGCTCCCGGAGCAGTTTCTGACGGCAAACACAAAGAGCTCCAGGAGACTGACTCCCACACTGCCCAGGAATCGCAGACCCAGTGTCTGTCCTAGAGATTAAACTGCTTCGCAGCCCCCCGGAGCCGGGAAGACAGAACTCGGTATGCAGCGCTGCCCCTCTGTGGCCTCTCTTTCAATTACTCCTATAAAACAGCTTCATAACCTTGATCTATGTGCATAAAGGGGCTGGAGAGAGGGAGAGCTGTGGTCCAAAACTAAGCACAATTAAATGCGACTTGAAATAAGTCTGAGCCGTGAAAGAAAAGTGGAACCACACAGGTTCTCTCCTGTAACAGACTGCTAGGTTCAAGAGAGGGGTTATCAGTAGCAGGGCCACGAGGATGTTGGGAAAGGGGACCTCATAATTGTCAGCATTTTCATGTTAATTAACTGAAAATTAATTTTTTACTCTTCCCCCTCGAATTAATCCAAACATAAAATAAATCTGTAAGAGTAATTTGGGAATAACTAACTGCTTTTTTCCCCAATCACATAGTCAACCTGAGTAAAAACTGAACTTCCTAAAAGAGTATTTCATAAACCCTGGAAACAGAAAAATGCAGGAGGCTCTCCCTGCTCCTCCAGATAAATCCAGAGCTGCTCATGCTATTCAGGACTACTCCATTCTGTTCCTGGCCCGGTGCTGGGGGTGGGCTGGGGGTGGGGTCTGATGGAATGCCAGCTCTTAATAAACAGGTACTGAGGGAAGATGATCTAGGGTGTGTTTGTGTTAACAGAGGGGTTGCTAGTGTCTTTTTGATATGGTGGGAGAGCATCTCAGTGCCATTGGCTGTCAGGTGGCATGTTGTCACCTGGGGAGCCAATGTTTGGAGAACTAGGTTCTAGGCTGAGACTTCTTGCAATCTTATGTGGGTGGTCCCTAAACCAGGCCCTGAGATTGGCAGAAGGAAACTTTTCCTTCTCCCATATCTCCCCATAGCAATCCCTCCTAAGGCTTGGGATGAAAGGCTATCATAATACCACTGTATCACAGAGGATTCTTACATATTTGTGATTACTACCTAGTGAAGCCATCAAAACTTAGAAAGCTGTCTTAACCCTCTTGGCACCTCCAAACACAACAGAGGAAATTAATTGGCCCTTTGGGGGACGAGGATGTGAAATAAGGTCTCTTCTTCACTTGGCCTTGTGAAAAATGCCCTATGTTGGAAGACATCGAGGGAAAGCTAGATGCCTATTCTTTGGAAAACTGTAAGAATGAACATTTTAGCTCAATTTCACCCATCACTAAATTAGAGCAGAAAATCAGCTTTGGGTTGTGACTCCCAAATCTATGTCCGTTCTCAATGCTACTACAGTTTTTTCCAAACACGGTCACCATATTGGCTTTCAACAGAATGTGATGTGGTGGAAATGGTCAGCTTAACGGCTTACAGGCCTCGGGTTTACGGATGTATAAACCATGGCTGAAATTAGGAAACTTGTCACAGCTAGACAGGTTGAGTTGGAAGGGGAGTCCAGGGTGTAGGGCTCGCTCAGCTTCCCCTTCTGTTACTTTGTTTCTGTTACTTTGTTTCTGTTACATTGTTTCTATTACATTGGTCCCTATCGCTACATTTCCTGGTTCCTGGGAGATAGGTTTCTACCCTCACTTTCCTTTGAATAAATGAAGACGCAGAAACACTAGCAAATGAAATGACTTCAAGCGCTGAAAGAGACCTTCCAAGCTACCGAGTCCAGGCTCCTCATTTTACAGGCGAGACGATGCCTAACAGATTAAATGGCATGTCCGAGGTCGCCAGGCTGTTAAGTGATGTCGATGGAAACCGCACTTGAGGACCACTGGTCAAATGTTCTTTCCGTGATCACACCACAGTGTGCTCCATGTTTGCCAAGAAGCGCACAGCAGAGATAAAATGAGAGACCTGGGCTTGCTAGGCCTCCTCAGGCCATCAAGCAACATTCACCAAGCCTCTATTATACCGTGTGCACCAGCCTGAGTTCTCTGCGCTGTCTCCAGCATCCCCCTTTGTCCTGAGGGTACAAAGGATTGAACTATAATTCAGCTTGAATAAAAAAGCCTATGTAGAATTATTTTGCTTTCCAATCTCACATAAATCCAGTTTCTTAGTTTCTTTTCTCCTTCGCCAAAAGTCACTTTTTGGTAATAAGGGTAATGAACTTAAGGTGTGCATATATAGTCATATAATACGTACATATATATACATGCATATAGAGCGGAAGCTGTATTTTTTGAGACAGGTCCATAGCCCATGCTGGCCTTGAATTTGCAGCAATCTTCCTACTTCGGCCTCCCAAGTTCTGGGAATTGCAGGTGTGAGTGACCACAGCCAGCCAGACTTGCGGTCTTATTAGAATTAAATCTCTCAGTTTTGACTGTGTATATATGAGGCAGATAGCTAACTGTTCATCTCATTAAGAAGTCTTCATCTAAATTCACCCAGCAATGTATCCCACGTTAGGCCTCCTTGTGTTTTGCCAAGGACAATCTGACACTTAAGTTGCCTAGTGGTGGTGAAGTTGGTGCTTAGGTTAATAATACTTTGTTTACTTATATAAATGGGACTTTACCAAGCATGCTTGACCTGTTCAAGAAAAGCTGGGGAAGGCAAGGAGCAACATTTGTGGAGGCGTTCTCATGTTTATGCCTCAAAACACCTTAGTCACAGGTTCTGTAACTACACTTGACGGATGAACGAAGACACCCAGTTTCCAGGGATTAAGTACCCTGGCCACAGCCACAAGGCCTTCTAGTGGCCAAGCCAAAATTTAACTCTGGGGCTTACTTGTTCCAAAGTCTGTGTCCCCTACAATATCACACTCACCATGGCCTCTGTGCCTTTGTTTGTTTCAACAGCTGAACTACGAGCTGAATACAGACGTGTTGGTTCCAATAGCAAAGACAGGACTCTTGGTAGCTATCCAGTAGGGCAGGGCAGGCAGAATAAACATGTTTCCCACCCTGGTCACCTGGGAGCTTCTTCTTAAAGATATTAGTCAAAGGCTTGAGGGTTTTTTGGTTTGTTTGTTTGTTTGTTTTTTTAAATATGAGCAGAAGGGGAGTTTGGGGCCAATTTTTCAGTGAAACTCTTTGGGTACATAAGAAATCTAAGTGGCAAGAATGTGTGTGGGCCTGTGTGATGATGAATGAGAGAGTGTTGTGAAAACATTCAGTGCATTGGAAAGCACTGAGCCGATGTAGGGCTTGCTTTTAAGGTGTTTGGGGAAGAAGACGAGTTTAGCAGAGTCCAGTGCGCCTGCTACAGAGACTTATATTTTAGGCAGATCTTTTGCTTTTTCCTGTAAAGTCTCTCGATTGATGTTCTCAACTGTTAGGGGATAGACATTGGTAGTGATGCTCTGTCTAGTGGCCACTACCGTGGTTCCAGTGTCCCACATCTCCCTTCAGACCAGCACCAGCGTCTCCTAAAACATGCCCAGCTTGGTGCATGGTGAATACAGAGGCCTGAGGATGTCATTCTACCTTCTTACCTTGGTCATTCTGGAATGAGGAAAAAAAACGAGTACAGCAGCCCCAAACCCAAAAGACAAAAAATCTTTCAGCCTTTGGTTTGCTTTGCTGTGCAGCCTCACGCAAGATGCCAATCCCAGCTCTCAGTAGGAAGAGGCAGGGAGATCTCTGCATGTGCAGACGGCCTTGTCTACATAGTGAGTTTAGTTCCAGGTTAGCCAGAGCTACATAGTGAGACATTGTACACACACGCACACACACACACACACACACACACACACTACATATCACATCCATCACACAATACACATACACCACACATACAAACACAACACACTCACACATACCACATATCACATCACACACATACACCACATATACAAACACAACATACACACACACACACACACACACACACACACACACACCTCTGCTTCAGGCACCTAAAGCAATCAAAGCGGTCACTGGACATTGCCTTTGCAAGTATCAGAGAAATGAGGTAGAGAAACTGGGTCTAGAAGTTATTGGAGCAAAGCCCAGTTGCACTGCAACTCTGCAGCCCCCACAGAAAGCCCATAGTCCTCCTGGCCTGCACTATCTCAGAAAATGTCTCCTCCCTCCCAGCCAGAATCCCCCTCACCCTAAAAGAGGCCTGGGAGCTGGCTGCCCATAAACTCTTGCCTTCCTAAATATCAAAGGGAGTCCAACCTGGCTGTTTCTTTATTTCCATCAAGGGGCCTTTGAATCAAAG